TTTACCGATTTCGAGCGAAAATAGCCAGTCGCACGAGAGATGAGATACTAAAACAGATATTGCTCTGCTTATCAAAATATGCGGAATGAGCATATACAGTAATTGTAAAAATTTTTCTCTCAGAATTTTGATACAATATCAAAATGTTAATATCTACAATGACTAAATATCTTTAACAATGAGCTATTTACCTGACATGGATAAAACGAGAGAAAAGCTATCATTCCTACCAGAGCAATGGGATTGAATAGCCACAATATGTAAATTATGCCACAACTTATAACTATCGGTCCGCTGATAATCATTGGTCCATAAATAATCACATCAAAAAGCCTTTGACTGTCATTGCAAAATAAATTGATTATCTGAACACAAGAGTTACATATTACTACATCAAGAGAGCATTTTCTTTGTGTTTAAAGATTTACGGAACAAATTAAGTATCTCACTTCTCCTGTACTTTTATTGCCAAGACTATTTAGTCTTATAATTTTCTTATACAACAGAGCTGTACAAGCCGACTTCAATCGTAATCCAGTCTTATAGTTCATGTTCCATGTCCAGGTAAAAAAGAAAGCTCGTAGAGAATCGCATACTGTCAGCAGAAAAACCCATTTGATACCATCCCAAAAATCCTCTTCTGGAGATTCTATGTGTTCCAATATTTTCCTCATTAATATCGTCTAAGTGAAAGAAAATTCTATATTACAATACAAAGATTTAATTTAATAACAATTTAGATATTGTTATATATAGAAAATGATCTTACCGGACTAAGAAATCCAAAAATAAGAGAACATGTCAATAAAAAACATGACATGCAAACTCGTGTGCGTACAAATTTCCACGCAACTGTAGAAAAAGATGCTGCATTCGGGCCATTTTGACTGAGCTCTTGTTGCCAAAGTACATCGAGTCTAAAAAAATAATTCTTAGTTATATTATAACTACAATAGAACTTCGTTTAACTAAAGTGTCGGGGGACAGTTCCGATACTAGTATTTATTAGTTCCAATAATAGCTGACATTGAGAAAACAAATTGAACACATCGAGTTCTTTATCCAAACTACGGTACCGTATCTATTGTCTAAATAGAATGCCAATAAACAGTTTTACTTATTTGTTCAGGATACGCAATAATATGTTAAGCTCACCTGAGTGCATTGTACTCGCAGCTATCATATACCGATATGTCTGGTAAGTCCTTTATCGTAAGACCTTTCTTATATGCTTTCCATAAGTATGGCGTCATCCATGTTATATATACATAAGAAAATAATCCAGCATTATCCGCTGGTGAATTTTCTTTCTTCCTGTAAAATGTATTTTCATCACTAAAATAATAATTCTTCCCAACAAGTATCAATTAACAATAACACAACTTATTAATTTCTCATTCAAGAATGTAATTAATACAACACATGTGTTATATTACTGTTAATTGATAAATTATATTGTTGTATCTGATAAAGATTATATATGATACATTTCATTAAATATTTTAGTAAATATATATTATTTTTAATTACTCTCTCTCTCTCTCTATATATATATATATATACAAAAGATTATTTTGAGACTTCGATTACGACACGTACTGGTTCTGGTATCGTATTGGTATCAAATTGCTCAAAGCATTATTGTACTTCTTCATCCCAGATCTGGGAATATACTCTCTAACTTGTTTCGCTGTACTGCAACTTGCTTTTGGTAAAAGAGAATGCTGTTGCTCGGGCTCCAAAGACCTAACAGAAGATTGAAAGAAATTGGTATATACCTTCCAAGTTATAATTCATATACTAACTGAATTCAAATATTTCATCAACATTATTTCTCTCGAGAAGAGAATATGAAAGACAATTTTAAATGACCCCATACCTTTCATTATGTTTGTGCTGTGCTTTACTTTCAGTCCGCTTATCATTATCACCATTGTTGCTTTCTGTGTTTTGTCCCATTCTTACAGAATATTATTATTTGACAATTTACTCTAACAAACGTAATGGTACCGGGAAAATCTGAAATTTGAAACTTTAAATCATTTCATATCACAATTGCATCTCGTGAAACAAGTGAGATAAAGACCTCTAATCACCGCAAGGCGTGCCGTGATAAAGCAAAATTACATAAAGCTACATAGTATTACTGTATATATGTTCGGTGAGAATTAAGCTAGTTATTACGTATCTCGGAAAAATCAAGGCATAAACAAACTTCTTATACAACTGCGAAAACATGTGACACGATTGTAAACATGCCAATCCCTACATAAATTATTCCCACATATTTTCATTCACGCAACCCATTATACATAAATAAATAGTAGCCAACACTGTTATTACTTACCTCATCGACAGTGTGGGTGAGATATCCTCATTTATGACAAGTAATCACCGGTTACATCGGCGACACTGATAAGAGTACGGTTTAATCTCTCGACATCATTAATGAGGTGCGTATTTTTTAAATTTCCGTCCATGCGCGAAGCCGAGGAGTAGAACAGGGAAGGGTAAGGTGCAGTCGTGCCGACACTTACATGGCATGCACACTAATGCACCTTCTCAAGTTGAATAACTTTGACACCTGCAATGATAACATTTAACATTTAGTAGAATATCATTCCATAAAGCACAAATTCGAATCCTGTTGGCGCACGAAAACAAACTTTACTTGGAGGAGCCTTTCCCCTCCTTTGGAAACTGCGAGATCATGCGTTTTATCTTGTTTACAATATCGAAAAAAGAATAAACCGTCGAAATTGCTTACCAGTTCACTTTCGATTGATGGGGATATGAATCAACGTAATTGAATGTACTCGAGAACTCCGTGCACAGAATGACCTTCTATCGAAGCCGTACGCTTTTGTCTCCTGGAAAAGCGTGGGCAGGCATCGTCATATCTGGAACCTCAGCTTCGTCTTCTGACAGTTCGGTTTTCCTCCCGGAGCTTCCGTTTCCAAGTACGATGAACCACTCGTGCATTGTTTACTTAATGAAGCGTTTGGGTGTGAGGAAACGTATGTGAGCGACGTGTCGGGTGTACGGTCGTATCAGGTCGTATTCACGACTGTATATGGGGTGTCCTAAAAGTTATATTACAGCGTTCAAGTTCACAGAGTCCACTATTAAGTCTAATTCTACAATGTGCTTTTTGTTTCCTGTTTCTTGCTGTTTGTCTCTTTCTTTTTTGATCAAAAAAGGCAAGAGACAGAGACAAACAGCAAAAAACAGGAAACAAAAAGCACATTGTAGAATTAATGAATAAATGTTTTGTAACGTTTTTACGAAATTTGAAATAAAAAATATATCAAGTCTTATAAAAATATTATAGAGAGTAGATGCTTGAATAAACCAATTAGGATACAAATATTGTTATTTATATTGGTATTTGAATAAATGTATAAAGCAATTAATAAAAGCATAGAAAGTGAGATACTCAATTTGCTTCGTAAATATATAAATGAATCCTGTTTGTATTAGAATAATTAGAATATCCTAGCCCAAGATATTCTAAATGACATACAAACAAGATTCATTCATTCATTTTATCCTTGTTTAACATTCGGTGAACAAGGATAAAATGATATTCGCAGATACTCGAAGTGTGTTTTCAAACGTAATTGCTGGAGAAAAATTTTCTCAGAATTTTTATATGAATTGGAACATTTTTTAGAAATACTGAAAAAGTTTCTTTTTTTTAAAATTTTTCATATGTCATTTCATTAGAAAGAGAAATCTTAGAATATTTCGGAATTCACATAAATGAATGTTTTAGAATTCTAGAATAATCTAAATTCTAGAATACAGATTTTTTCGACATCTCTGTGAAGTGCTCCAATTTCTACCAAAAATCAGAGAAATTTTCTAAAGTTATAAAATTAATCAAAAATATAAAAAATTCAGATAGTTTCATTATTACGTCTGAATATCTGTAAAATTTGAGCACAATTCTGATTATTTTGCTACATAAGACTATTATAAACCAAATTATTTATCTTTTGTAGTTGATTTAAAGATACATTTACCAGCTAATATCATCAAAATTTTTTGGATAGCTGATATTAGTTTGACTGATTAGTTTGATTAATACTTTAAACTGATATTGTATAGCCAAAATATCCTATAAACAGTTTTGGATGTGAAATGAGGAATTGACTGGATTTTCAAAGAATTTTAGATTGGATTTTTTTCTCAATTTTGAATGACAATTTTATTCTAAGAATATAATACATAAACTAAGAATATGTATAACAATACAAATATAAACAAGTTAAATTTACTCGGCATAAATCTGTTCAAAGCCGAACGTTCGATTGAGATAATAAGTCTAACTTATTTATGTTCGTATTGTTTCTATCTAAGGAATTACACATTTTACGTACTTCCTCTTCATTGTTTCGAATTTTTTTTTTTATTCAAACATGTGCGATAATATAAACCGAAATCAAATCTGCGTTAAGATATACATAACATTGACACTTGCAGCCGGCACACCGACTCGAAAAGAACTGCTGTGTCTCCTTATATAGTTTCGTAACATCTATAAATATCAATGGAAATTATAATTCTTATTCCAAGATTATACAATACGTCATATAGTACATTATCGCGTTGTGGTGAAAGATGAGTGTGAGCAGCTATATCTGACTTAGGATCCCGCATGTACAATACACAATACGATGAATTTATTGAGGTGTAATCGCGAGCTATAGTTAGTCCGTATTATAATCGTATATTTCGCGCTTTACAGCTCATCGCTACGTCTCGACGCATATTGACGATTATTATATCTAAGCCTGCATCAAAGCTATTACGATAAGTAACAAGTTTATATATATTATATATAAAATTATAATTCTAATATTTGATATTATCAGAAAATATCATGTACGTCGCCACTAAAAACAAGAAATACTTTTATCGCATTTAATTTAATTGTATGGCTAAACCAAACTCCAAAATTACACTCCTTTTCAATAATAATTCCCCAAGAAATTTTCGCCTTGAATTTTATTTCGACGACGTACGATTGTCTGTTGACATTGCGCTCAGTTTAAACGGAAAAAAAAATGTTATCGAAGATAAGGGGAAATTGTCTTTCCACCTTTACTCACTCATAACAAAAATTAAATTATATGTTCTACGTAAATTACATATTTTGTATATGTTCATACTTTATATTATAAAAGAATAAGCGAGTACTTATACACTACTAATTTGGCTTACGATTAACACATAATTCAAGACTATATACGAAAAAAAAAGAAAAGAAAATAAAATCTATTCATATTGCATCAATGTGATTTAGAAGTGCATCTTTTCCATCGATCACTTTGATTCTTTTGAACGTTTAGCGTTAGAAACGCATTGCCCGATCTCAAAAACTATTATAATTGCTGCCGCCCAACTGCGAGTTGAAAGTTCTGTTGTTTGGAGAGTATCCTTGCCTGAAGTTGTTACTTAAGCCTGTATACAAAGAAATCTATATGTACGTATACATAAACATGGTAAATAATATGCAATATTATGTCAATGTGATATAATAAATGCGAGAAGAACATTTGTTTGTGATTTAAGTTAAAAATTATAACTGTTTTCAAATTATGTAATATAGTGAAAAATAGATCCAAAATTCAATTTATAATAATTGTAAGAGATTATTAAATATATTTTCAAAATATCTTAAGTACAATTATTTTATTTTATCTTGTTGTGTTTTCAGATATTTTGGTATGATCCAACAATTTTACCTCTATAGAAATTGTCAATGTGACTAAACTCGTAAGAAATTATTTTATATATTTTTTAAATATTTTAGAGAATAACAATAATTTAGAGTTTTAATTTAAACAGTTTTTATCTTCGGTAGCGTGTTTTTGGAAATTTTTCATATGATCCAGCATTACCTCCACAGAAATTTCCAATGCCACTTAGTGACATATTACTTGATCCGCCGGATGAGTTCATAAATAGCTCAATGTATCTGTGCGACATGTGGCTTTTATCCTATAATAAAACGCGAAGAAGTTAAAATTACATTATCTTATGCAAGTGTATAAATTATTGGAAATCTAAGTCAATTTTTAGAAATCATTTTTAATTTCTATACAAATTTCTACAAGATTTCTACACGTGAAAAAAAAGTGTGTGTGTATATATATATATATATATAATCATACATAATCGTATATTATAATCGTATATAAGTTCTGTTTAAACGGTTTCTGGAGTTGACTTCGATTGAAGAAATAAAAAATGTATACACAAACCTTGCACATTGCTTTCAAAGCTTCTTCATGAGTCGCGAATTCTACATCAGCTTCTCCCGATGGACGACCGCCATTCTCAAGAATAATGCGAACATTTACCGGCTCGATTGGTCTGAAGAACTGCAAAATAAGACCCAAAATGTTATATTATTAAATATTAGGAAAGAGTTTTTGAAAAATGGAGTCTCATCGTTATTATCGGTTATGAAAATTACATCAGCTATGTCTTGTTCTGTCGCTTTGAACGGCAATCCTCGCATATGGATACTATACACGCCGGAATTACCGCCCCAGGAGTCATTGTTTCCTCTGTAATTGCCACCCTTCATGTCCATGCTGCCACGCATTCCCATATTGCCGCCACGAGATCCGTAATTGTTTCCACTTCCCCATGGACCGTTATCAAAATCTAAAGTAGATTACACAGTTTACGATAAAGCTGAAAATAGACTACAAGCTCTAAGGAAGTAAAGTATAAGACATGTAAATACATACGTAATGAATTAGTACGTGAATTGTATATTAAGTCTCTATTACGGTATTGTCCTGCACGATTGTCTTCGTACTTCGATAGATGAAAGGAATCACCTCTATTTCTGGATCCTCTGCCATTGTTGCTAAAACGATTCATTCCACCGAAGCGGTCACCACGAGTGTACGGCGCGGGCCTCTGATTGAAGCCGCCCATGGGACCACCGCGCATTTTCGGCCCGATACTAGCGCGTACCTCGGATAAGCTGCTTCGGAAGATCTCGATATATCTGTTAACGATTGAAGATATACGCGTTGAAGAGATACATAGAGCGACACGTTAGCAAATAAATAGTCGTCATTATTATTATTATTATTATTACTCTCACCATACAAATGCCACCAAATTGAAAATTCGACAAAACTTAACGATACGGATTTAATTGAGATATCACAAATGGTGAGAGACAAGAAAAACAAAAACAGTGATACACGTTAACTCTATCGAAACAGAAAAGGTGTAAAGAGGAGCCATTCCTGCACAGCAGTAGTGAGAGATTAATTATTTACTGTCTGACGTTTACAATAAAAAGAAAAAAAAAAGGAGGAAACTTATGTGGCAGTTTGGCATTGAAGTTGAGTTTACAAGTGTGACAGTACAATTATATTCATACTAAACCTCCGCAATTTTTTATTAAACCTGCGAAGAGACCCTCCCACGATGAAATTCCTTCCCGACGTATCTACGTCACACGTACCCCACAAGCCCATGCGACGCCGACGATCTTCGGGTAAGCTACGCTCACAATTACACCCTTCTGCAGATGAATATTTCGATTGACGTAGATTATCAATTTATTTAGCGTACGTTGACATAAAAAAAATTTCCTTGTGTAATAATAAAGCAGTTTGAAGTTTACTAAACAATTTTTTTTATTTTAAAATTTACAAGACGATTTGATCTTGAGTTTACAAAACAGTTTAATCTTGAAGTTTAACGTTCATCTGCAAAAAATGCAATTATGGGCGTCGCCTAGATGTTGTCGTATTGGATGGTTACTATCTCTCCACATCTCTCTCTCTCTCTCTCTCTCTCTTTCTCTCTGTAGCACCCACCGAGCTTTGGCGTGCCCTACCCACCTCCCATGGGATTTGGTGATGATGGTAAGGGGCTATCTCCCGCCCCCCAACACCCACCCACAAATATAAGTAGTTGGGTCCACAGTACTTTCGCTTACGTACGACTATTCGGTTGTAATTGTGTTTTGAGAGAGGCAGTTTCTTTATGTCAAATAAGAAAAATTTTCTAGAGGTGATCCTCTTTCGACACAAAAAGAAATTCATTTGTTTATAACTTTAAAAGACTGTTAAATTATTTATCTCGACACGGCAAGATGCGGGATTTTCTCAAACTAGCTTATGTTAAAAATTTTCAAAACATGCGAATACACATGTACTGAATAAAGCTTAATAATAATACAAATACAATAGTTCCTCCATTTCCACGCTCTCGCGTGGAAAATCCTCCTCAGGGAAAGATAAAGAAGCTGCATCCATATCGTAGAATTCGTTCCCACTATTTACTAAACGAAATGTATATACCTACATGTACTACGATCATTAATATAAATGATATGGAAAAGTCATAAGTATACCCAAACCCAGCTATACCGTCTCAGTGCCCCACCTGTGTCCTATCTTTTCCTTGTGTTTCTGCAGAGCGCGCTCCGCAACATCTTTGTTAACAAATTGAACGTAAGCCTCCCCAGTACTGCGGCCCGTGTAGTCTGTCGGTAGTGATATCCCGTTCGGAAGAATCTCCAACCCTGACCCACACATAATCAAACATCGATATTGTAGCTTATAGGCACCCATTAGAAAAAAGAAGTTATGGTCAAGTTTATTAAAACCCTTATAAAAGAAGCAAAACTATTAAGGACTCTAAAATTGCGCACATACGTGCGCATTCTTTTTCTTTCTTCTTTCTCTTCGTGATTCTCCTTATACAGATATAAGACATTAAATTGCCACGTCCGAAAACCAAAGTTAAGAATTAAGCTCGATCACAAAGTTGCGCAATGAAAATATTTTCGTTACATTCGTACAAATTATAGAAGTCATAAATCTGCGACACATTCGTATAGCACAACTCAGATCTTAGCGAAATCTTAAATCTTAACCAAGGCTAATCGTCGATATCAGGACACAGAGACATCGTTCTTCAGATGGAACTTAATTTCATCTAATTTAATTTTGATAAGTGTGCGTTTGAGCCATTATCTTATTACTTTTAGTAGCTAATTTTAGAATAAGCATCTAATTGTTAGAAAGCAATTATTATAGCTTGCTTGTTACAAAACTCATTGATGCAAGATAGTAATTTTAGTAATTTATGTTACAGCCATCGAAAGTATTCTGTCGCTGCGTTCCTGAGACAAATTGTTGAATTTCATTTAATCATTTTTATCTTATGAAAAAGGAAGTATAAAAATATAAAAAAGCTACATATTTGAAAAAGATGAATAGATGTCTGTTTTCCAAGGATTAAATAAAATCTCAATGACATTTAATATATATATATATCAATTAAAAAGCATTGATACTGAATACTTTGATTGTTACATGCTAAGTACCTGAGAAGAATTGTGCAATTTCCTCTTTCGAACAACCAAACGGCAGGCCGCGCAATCTCACGCAACCATCATCCATCGCGTTCTCCAAATTAAGACCGCTCCTCTTCACGACCCATTCCATTTCGCCGCGTTTTGCTTTAAAAACTGAAACAGCAACATTGTACATTTAGGCCCAGTGAGAAAATAAAGGTAAAACTAATCATATTAAAGACTCTTACAATAATTGAAAACTGCTTTTTTTGTTAAACACAACCATTACATGTTAAAAGAACTCATATAGTAAATTAACCTTCAATATAACGGTGGCCCATGTGATCTCTGTCTCTTTTGCAAGCCTTCTCAATATCTTCTGGAGTATCCATTTCTACGTAGGCTTCGCCGCTAGGGCGTCCTTCACGGGATGTAGTCATGTGAACTCCGTTCTTGCCATTTGAGATCGAACAGTCACCAAAGAATTTCATAATCTCATCCACAGTGGTAGACCATGGCAGTCCACGTACCTTAACGACATATCCTTCCTCCTCATGATCTCCACTACCGCTCGACATGATTCTAGTCTAATGCAATCTCTCCTTATAAATAATATCTGCAAATACAAAGATGAAATATTTTACAATCAATTTAGCACAACAAAGTGAATGTAACAACATAATATAGTAGAGAACACCTTAGAATCGGTTTAAGTTGGATATTTCAAATAATATAATATTCTTGATTCATGAATTGAAAGTGAATGTAATTGTACAGAAAAATCTTACTTTATTGTGCTATATATTTAGTAAAATATGTAATACATATTTTAAATACATAGGATACATTCAGTATTACAGACAGTTTACTGAATGCTCAGTGAGTAAGAAAAGAAAAAATTTGTTTATTGTAATATTCATAATCTAGAGTACCTTAGATAATATTTAATATTATATTTCTTACTTAATAATTACTGGTTTATTAATTTTTAAGACCGTGAGCACCCGTTAACCAATATGAATGACATAAAATTGCACTCATATTGCTACCTTAGAAAAATAATAAATAGTAATAAGTAAAAAATATAGTATTAAAGATTATCTATAATAGATAATTTATTTTACATTATGAATATTATAATAAACATATTAATTCCTTTTTTATTCATTGAATGCTCAGTGTCCAGTCTGTAATACTAAATGCACTCAAATTTTTCCAAATTTATTAATTCAAAGTAGCATTTTATTTTATACACTGAGATCAGTATATGGATGCGTTCCGAGTTGTGCATGAAGCGCATAATGCATCATTTGTCCTTGTTGTTCCTCAAATAATAAAGAAGGATAAAACGTTACATCATGAGCTTCATGCGTAATTCGGAACACACCCTATGACGTCTTTAATATGCTATTTGATTTGAGTATACTTTATACCAAACTTGAGTATAAAGACTTAATTACATTACTTGAATACCAGCAATTTCACAATTCTTCCAAATTAGATCCACATTACATGTCAAAACATATAATGCACTTTTTACATTTAAAACAATTTGGAAATTGTTTTTGCAAGAAACATACACCAATCACAATACAATAAAAAAAGGAGGAAAGAAAAACAAAAACCAGGATATATCAACAATTTCCGTCAACTGTTTTCACAGGCTGAGTATTGACAGATAAATCGAAAAGAACAAGATTAAAAGAGAAAATAGAAGCGAATAATTTCCGATCGCAAAATAATCGTTCGCTTGACTACAGCGTTCACTTTTAATCAACTCACAAGCGGAAATACACGCGAAAGTCATGAAAAATTTAACTGACATCAAACGTTGGGTGTTGTAACGGCGACATATACTTAGGCCAGAATCAGACTACGTATTGAAGAATGAGATTGAAAGATTGATGTTTGATTAATCAGAACAAAGGAGCCAAAATTTTTTGTCCTCATTGGTGAAATTTCCATCTTTAATCTTTAATTTCAATCTTCAATGCATAGTCTGATTCCGGCCTTAGATCCGTTTTTTATTCCTGCAGTAAATTGTTGTCAAATATCAAATATATACCAATTTTATTTTAAAGTTCCAAACATAAGTACTAGTTCAGTTATAAAAAAAACAGATCTAATAGACGCGCAGATATTTGATGAAATATCTCGCGGGGGAATGCCATTACGACTGTTGGGAGAAGCAATGGCATTCGACAAGATTCACGACACCGACTCGCCCAACTTACCGCCGCCTGGGGCGTTGAAATACTGCTCCTCCCGTTCTTGAGCACAAAGGTAGATAACTAATTGGAGAAATGTGCTCAAATTTACACAATATTATTTGAAATCGTTCGGTGAATACTACATACAAACGATCGACACAATCGAAGTAAAAGTCAATAGAAGTACCTGTAAGTACCGAAACCGAAGATCCGTGAACAAAATGGTGGACGATGACGACGCGTTCAGCAAAACGATCGATGCAAGCCGTGTCTCTAGAATGCGTTCCAAAACTCGACTTCGTCAACTCTCGAGTATTTTTTATCCTTGTTTAACGTTCAGTGAAAAACAAGGATAGAATGAATTTGGTTTGACAAAATTGAGTTTTGGAACGCAGACCAGAAACACAACCGCTCAGGGTCACTTTATGAAACGCCGATTAGGTTAATCGGCCAATCGGATTTATCATTTTGTTTAACGGCAGATACGATTGGCTAATTCCAATGGACTAATCGGCGTTTCGTAAAGTGGCATTTACCGTATCGGAATACACGGTATTCCAAAAGATCCCTATTATATCCTACTTGATGTATTTGCAATGGCTGCGTTCAATGGACATATGCTGGATTCACCGGGGTGATCCCGATTGATCACGGCTCGATTGGACACCACCAATCACATCGACCGGTGCTTAGGAGCTTTGTAGTCTCAAGCGCTGTGAGTGGCTCGTGTCCAATTGAGCCGTGTCCAACTGGGTGCCTCCCCGCTCTGCAATCAATCAGAAAGCAGGATTCCGATGATACGAAGCAAAATCCATCGGAATCCTGTTTTCTGATTGGTTGCGGAGCGTCGCACGACGCAAATCGGATGCAGGGTGAATCCAGTATAACCGAGGTTCAACTTGTTTCTCATCTTTTTCCAATTCTAAAATTGGAAAGAGTCAATTGCTGGATTCACCCTGCATCCAATTTGCGTCGTGCGACGCTCTGCAACCAATCAGAAAACAGGATTCCGATGGATTTTGCTTCGTATCATTGGAATTCTGTTTTCTGATTGGTTGAAGAGTGTCGTACGACGCAAATCGGGAGCAGGATGAATCCAGCATTAAGAGTTAACCGTGAGTTGTGAAACTGGACCTGAATGAGCGCTCGCTGCTATTGATGTATTTTTCCAGATCTAAAATACTGATTGGATGATCTAAAAGAATACACCAATGGCTGCATTCAGCGGACTCAACCGTTGAGTGAGCGCTCGCTGCTGTTGGCTACGTTCAGCGGGCTCAACAGTTGAGTGAGCGCTCGCCGTTATTGGTGTATTCTTTTAGATCATCTAATCAGCATTTTAAATCTAAAAGAATACATCAATAGCAGCGAGCGCTCACTTAACTGTTGAATCCTCAGAACGCAGCCATTGGTCGCGTTCAGCAGATTCAACTATTTTGGAGCAGATCCGTGAGCACTCGCTGTTTCTAACTACTGTTGGATTAACAACAATCAATCAGGCTTCAGTAAACAGAGAAAGAACGATCTTATTATTCCTGCCTCTCACTCTAATCGTCTTTCTACCCCCACCATTGCCATCAGCGGTCCATTCTAGATGTCGATGGGATCACCCCTTGAGTCTGCTGAACGCGACCATTGAATGCATCCACTGTAGCCAACATTACGAGTCCCACCGCACCGCCGTGATTTTTGCCAGATCGATCGTGCAACGTCCCGCAGTTTAAAAAAGAGAGAAAGGAACCAAGGAAGGGAGAAGAGAATAGCACGAGAGAAACCGGACAATTTAGTGGACTGACGACGACGCAGCGAGTGGCTTGGGTTGTGTGGACGGCAATTCGTCTTCCCAGTATAGCAGCGTTTACAGGACAAGGAGAGCGAGTAGCATTGTGAGGAGGCGATTGCACGCGCGACTCGCGAGTGTGACGGCCGGCTGGCTGGCACGTTCTCGTCGTCGTTGTCGTCATCGTCATAGTCATCGTGATAATCGCACAGTCCGTTGTCGTCCAGTCGTCTCGTTACGCGTCTAGTTGAGCAAGGACGCACACAACGGACCTGAGTGGACCACGCGACCGAGCGGAACGGGCGAGAGCGGACCCAACGAGCGAAGCGACTCGGCCACGGCTACGACGAGCCCGTCACGATGAGTTTTTTATTGTGAGTCTCCTCTTCTTCGCCTCCGCGACTTTCTCCTCTCCGACCGTCGCCGTCGAGTCGAGTCGAGTCGAGTCGAATTAAATCGCCGCCCTCCGATCGATACGTCCTTGTACTTCTTACAAGGACGAGACAGAACGAAGCCACAGGAGTAATCCTAATCTTGTTCATCTCCTTTTGTGACAGCTGATGATTTATTTTTATTTTTCTTTAGGAAAGATTCTGCTAATCTTTGTTTGTATTCTATTCCAGGATGTTCTCTATTCTCTCTTTTTTTCTTTCATATATAATCTTAACAGTCAAATTTATTGTTCTCCACGACGAATTTGACGAGGATGAGATCAATTTTGATGCCGTCTACCGGTGGATCGATCGAGAGTAAAAATAGCGCGTCTGTCGTACGGGAGTCTCTTCCCTTGGCGCGTCTTCCCGCGGGATCCACAATGTTCCTCGAACGTCAGGATTATCGCTCGACGCGGCACGTAATCTATGAATCATCCGTCTCGGTGGCCGCGCCTTATGCTCCTCGTCATCGAGAGTGCCACGATGTCGACGTTCTTGGAGTCACTTTGACATTCGTGATAAATAACGCAGTCACTTTCTGCATGCGTGCGATCATGATCAGCTGAGCGTTGCGATCGAGCAGGGTTCCTTTTTTTTCGAGCTGTGACTTTACATTTTTTGCGTTTGTAAAGAAAAATATATTTAGATTTTTTTATATCTAGAAAAAAGCTAGACTGGAGAAAGTGATAGACACTATAGACCATAGAGATATAGATAAAGCGGGAAAGAAAAAGAGAGAGAAGGGGAGAGCGAGGGAGATAACGTTTGCACTTTTCTACCTGCCTCTTGTTGTTCACTGTATAAGTGTAAGCGGGTTTTTGGAGAAAGAGAAAAGAGAAAAAGATTTACCGAATGTAGGAAAATATTATATCTAATAAGAGGTTTAATGAAAAATTATTTTTGTACATATTTTTACATCATTCTTTTATTCCAAAAGTGACACAACTAAAAGAATGATTTTTTTTACCATAAATGAATTAGGTGAAAATTACTACGTCGAAAATATTTTAACTTCATGTCTGTCCATCAAATAGCACTTGTATCATTCTTAAAATTTTCGAAGAAATAATATTAGATTGATGCAAGTTAAATTTCGGTTTTCCGTATTATTAAATGGTGGTTTCCCTTTTTCAATATATTCTACTATATTTTCAAAAAGTTAACGATGCGATTATACTATTTGATGGAGCAAAGTTTCAGCTTTAAAAATCTATATGTTTTTTTATTGTGATATGATTTTTAATGGAGTTATGAGCAACCAAAATCAAAATGGTCCTTTTACTTAATCTGCGAGTAACTCAAAAAATTGTAGGAACATTATTAAAAAACGATTTTGTTGGGAAAATTTCAATTTTTACGATAGACAGTAAAAAAATTTCTTAATTTTGGGGGGTACATGACAGATCTACAAAATGAGAAGAAAGTTTTTAATTTTTTTTCAGCTGATAGTTTTCTATATGTAAAAATTACCAAATTCACATAAACTCAAAAAATATAATATGTATTTGAAAGTAAAGTTTTCAAACTTTAAAATTCTTTTTTACATTTAAATTTTGTTCATTTTTTAATAAAGTTATAGCTGCTCTTAATAATAATACAAGAAAACGTCATTTTATTTACATCAACCTAATACCTTCTATCAGAGTAATACACTTTGAATTGTGTCATTTTTATAAATAAAAAGGAATCTTCTGCAGAGAACATTTAGAGTTAATACAGTTTGAAAAAGAAATTGTTCTATTTTGAATTATTATTTTATGAAAATAAACCGAATAAATTGTTAATGATATTTCGAGGTATATCACTTTTGGTAAATTATTTCGGATTTGTTATAATTTTGTTAGATATCAAAATTATCACAATTCAAAAAAGATAATTTTTTTAAAGTTATAAAACAAAAATGACAAAAATGAAGATTATACTTATTATAGAAAAGAGATTTCTGGATCCAATGTTATTATTCTTCGATTTATATTAGTAAAATTGAATCAATGTAGGAACGATCATATTTATTATTGAGAGTAAAATGTATATTTTATTCTTAAATAAAGAATTCTTAAAACTAGAATGAAATTATTTAGCACATCAGTTTCGCCTCAAATACTGTGGCATTGTGCGTTATAACATCGGGTAAAGATTTATTCTAAACGTAAGAATATATAATACATTTATGTGTTACTCTTATCTCAAGACAAAAAGGCTCCTTTCCTTTTAGGAGATAGTCGACACAAATATTTTATCTTTGTTATTCATTGAATGCCAAGAAGAATAGAATGATATTTATGTCGACTGTATTTCTTAAAAGGAAAACAACTTAAGTCAATCTTATTTAATTCGAGGGAGAAGTTATCGGTCTAATTTTAATATTGTTTAATTTTTATATTACACAAAATTGCGATAAGGTTAAGTACGTTAAGAAGTACGTACAAGAAGGAAGATATCATATAAAAATACTAGATTTATTATTACGGATAAATTAATGGCAATCTCTCAGAGTTAACTACCGACTTGTTATTGATAAGATCTAAAACTAGCAGACTAAAAAACTGAACAAAAAAGGAAAAATATTTTTTATCTTTTTATCAAAAGAGGTGTTATATTTTTTGCCGATATTATTTGATTAGTCAATAATTTTCTGTTAAGTTGAAAAATAGTTTTTCCTCTTTTTAAAAAAATTTTATTTTTTTAGTTATCACTTTTGAAGTAAAGAAAAGATATATATCTTCATTTGAATATTTGAGCTTCTAAATATTTCAATGTAGTAGGAGTATAAAAGAGTGCAGCTGAATGGAGAATTTATTTTTATTATTATTAAAGAAATGCAATCTTTGATAAATCAGAAAGTAAAATTATTGAAAAAAATTATAATAAATTAAAATAATATAACGGACTCTTAGAATCACATATTATATACATTCATCTAGATTTTAATTAAACGCCTTAATGTTTATCAATTTTTTATCTTATCAATAATACAAGTGTTATTAATAACCATTGGCAGTCAGCTGATCGACATTGATTTATCTATAATGATAAATAGCTTATTTATATGACATCTTTCTTCTTGCTTCATATTTTAGATTTTTAAATGAAGATATGCAATTATAATTGTATAGTAAAATCGAGTTAAAATATTAAAATAATAACTTTGAATTTCTTAATAAGAAACAGAAATAATAGATAATGATCTTTCTGTCCTTTTCTCTTTCAAGTGGGAGTAGGTCTTCCAAGACTTTTAAACCAAAGAAAAACATCCCGGAGGGTACTCATCAATATGATCTGATGAAACATGCCGCTGCTACTTTAGGCTCCGGTAATCTACGATTGGCCGTAATGCTTCCTGAAGGAGAGGATTTGAACGAATGGGTCGCTGTTAATAGTAAGTCGAAACATTATTTTTTTATTTCTATTATTTTCTTTATATCAATCAGATCTAAACGTCTGTCTCTTTCTTTCAGCTGTTGACTTTTTCAATCAAATCAACATGTTGTACGGCACCATCACAGAATTCTGTACGGAGGAGAGTTGTCCCATCATGTCGGCCGGACCAAAGTACGAATATCACTGGGCCGATGGTCACACGGTGAAAAAGCCTATCAAATGCTCAGCACCCAAATACATAGATTACTTAATGACCTGGGTTCAGGATCAATTGGACGACGAGACTCTATTTCCATCCAAAATCGGTGATTATATAATTTTCTTCACGTGCTTTCTCTTTTGTCGATCATTCTGAACAGAAAACTAATTCTCGATTATTTTTATTGCAGGAGTTCCTTTTCCCAAGAATTTCTTGTCTATTGCAAAAACTATTTTGAAGCGGTTATTCAGAGTATATGCTCACATCTATCATCAGCATTTTAGTGAAGTTGTGCAGCTCGGTGAAGAGGCGCATTTAAATACGTCGTTCAAACATTTCATATTCTTTGTTCAGGTATACAATCATATCTCGAAAAAAGTTAATTAAATTAAAAGACTAAATTGATAACAAAAGCAATGATAAAATTTCACGATATAGTAACACATGTATACTAGAGTGATTCAAGTATGAATGAGACAAATCAACGTTGATAGACGGTTTTTTACACTGAGTGATGATAGATGGAGATGTCTGCTCACGCATTGTATTGTGACCTCATGACAACTGTTTCTGTCATTATTGCAATGTTCGGATAAATAGTACCAAGTGCACTGTGCCTTCAATAATGTCTCTTCTCTGAACTGTGCATGCAAAATTTTAACATTTTGATTTGCAAGAAGCTTGATCAACGTATGAACTTGAATAACCCATTGTGGAATGACTTGGTACCATTTGTTCGGACATTGATAACGACTACAAAAACAATTGCTACGAGACTACAACTATATAGAGCATGATCAGACACATCCATTACTCGATGTAAATACGTTTACCAACATCGATTTGTGTCAAAACAAAAAAAGTTTTATTCGTATCTAAATCTTCCTCATGTATATACATACGTATGTGTATATACATGAGGAAGATTTAAATACGAATAAAACTTTTTTTGTATATAGTTATATTTATATATATATATATATATATATAAAACACACACATATATATATAACACATATGTATAGTTATAACCTAATTATTTGATTTTATTCCTGATATTTAATACATAATATCGCATTGTAGGAATTTAATTTGATCGAGAGAAGAGAATTGGCACCTTTGCAGGAGCTAATAGAGAAACTGACGGCGAAAGACGCGCGATGAGTCCGTCTACTGTCTACGAGCCACTCGTCCTCTCGAAACTTTTCCAAAGAATCTCTCAACCATGTTATCTTCGCTAACCCGCACATATAATTACATTATTTAAACTGATCTATTAATATAACTTCACGATCTGCCTCTGTTTCGAAGAATTGGCGGCAAAAACATGTCGCCGTTCCGGAAACAAGCGACTGATAACGCGAGAAAATGCCTACAGTGTTCGCTCTGAAACCTCATTCTTCTCTGACGGCGCATAGATATATTCTGTATACTCACTATGTGCACACAAATAAAAAGAGAGAGAAAAAACTTATCGAGTGGATAAGGATAACGAGACGGAAGTTATGAGACGGCGCGTTCGACTTTGTGACTCAATTTTCTCCAAACGTTCTCCAAGCACGTTTCAATTGTAATTTATCAATTGCATTGCTGACACACGAAGGAGAGATGATTGATATTTAAGTACAAAGTGCACATTTCGAGGAAAAAACGAATTCGAAAATTCTAGATACACGCGTCTCTGTTTCGCAAACAAACATTTAATCGTAATGCTCGTGGGTATTCTGCAATTTTGTTGTTATTATCTGCTGCTCTACTGTCGGATGTAAAAATACTGTCGCTATTATATAACTGTAGAAATTACCGATGCTTCGTATGGCTATGTACAAATGCGATGGCATATCGTAAATTTCGTATGGTTACTTTTACGTTTAGTATAATTTTGTAAACAATTATTTCCTATTATTTCTCGGATTAGTATCTCGTATTTCTTATCGAGAATTTAGACATTGTTGGTATAATAACACTCATATATATATATATATGTGTGTGTGTGTGTGTGTGTGTGTGTGCGCGCGCGCGCGCGCGTGTGTGTGTGTATAGTGCCGTTAAAAAGCAAAGAAAAGTTAACGCGCAATGCTATCGCATTATTATGTAACGACTACTTTAAGATATCGTCCTGTTAAGCGCTTATAGACTTATTTATACGACTAGGGTTTTTGTACGCGTTTTATCCCTGTAGAAAGTGATATTTCCTGCTTCAGACGCTTTTCAGATACTGGTAGTTAAACCATCTACGTCGTCTTACTGCAATTTCTCGTATAATTCTCTCCAGTTATTAATTTTCGATTTCTAGGAATTAACGTTATGAACGACAAAAAACTATCACACATGTCTTTGTTCTATGAACGTCGTGATTGATGTGACGTAATATTTCACTGACATTTATCTTCGTCTGTCTTTGCCTAATTAAATTTATGCTGCATTAATGAATGGCAGATTTCTAGCAGTACTTTAACCATTCACAAAGTTCGAATCCGCAATGTCCGACTTCGAATATTTTGTTTTTAGTCGATACTTAATAGTGATTATATCGGATTAAAAGTACATCGCGAGTTGTAAGTGTCGAGTATCCTTAACAATTGATCAACGTCGCCGACAGTTATCGTCATTTATGTATGATGGTCCGATTATGTATGATCGTCGATAGCCCGAATGTATCAAGTAATTCGTCGTTTCTTTCGACATGTTACGCATGCGATAATAATGAAATCTTTAGAAAATTCCAAAGTGCTGAGAAAAACAGTTTTAAAAAGGGAAACATATTTTTTTCATTGCAGTAGACGTTAAGAGTTCAATCGCGTGAACCTCGTATATATGTATACGTATATACATATTGCATATATATATATATATATATATATATATAGACGTATTTTATTATAACGACATAAGATAGTGATTAACGGCAGCGAAATAAGGTGATAACGCCGTGGAACGAAGACGGCGCGTATATACGATGAATGTAGACATAAATGATGATAGTAATAGTAATATTGTATTCGGTACTTAAGAAAAGATAGAAGAAGTAAGACGCAGTGAGAGTGAGAGCAAAAAAAAATCGCATTTGTCTGCGTTCTTCAGAGATGGTTACAAATAGCGTCTGTTCGTGATTGCGATGGACGATAGTCGCCTATTAGAGAACTATTTCATTTGTTCTCGACGACTCGACCGACTACAAACGGCTATTTTTGGTCTTATACGCGTTTATACGAGTATTAGTGATTTTCTCGACGCCAACCTGCAACTGCTATTCATTCGTGATGTTTAGACGCTTACCTTAGCGACGTTCCCGATCGGAGAACACGCGTCCTCTCTCCCTTTCCTCTTGAGCGACTTTCCGCGGCACGAGTGCCTCAAACGCAACACTGTCCGACACGGTCATGCGAAAAAAAAACTGATATTCTGCGAACATGTTTGAAGTTATTTTAAAATGTTATGCGCACGAAAGATTAACAAAAGATTAAAACTTTGCGCCGAAAGAACTGTACTGACGAGGATAAGTTCTCCTCGAGTATTGGCAAGTTCTGTAACTTTTATAGATCTCTATTAGATATAAAGAAAGTAAATTTTCGAGACAATTTTCAAATTCTTAGCTGAACATCTCGAGGGAGAAAGACGCTTGTCTTTCAAGATGGGTCCTCATCTTCGGCTCTTTTAGCGTTAAAATTACTTATGCTAAGTAATCTATTGAGGGTGAACGAATGCAACGCGAGATTTCTAGAGGCTGATTCGGTGGTCCTGATAATCTGATCAGTTGAATTGTGAATACGAATGATAAATGATAATTCGATCGCGTCGGGTGGAGGGACCATATTTATACTAGAAGTCCTCTTGAGATCATTTCTTTATGGAGAAGACGATCGTGTTGAGGTGAGGTTGTATTCTCTTCGTTCGGAACGGCCTTTTCGCGGAGAGTTCTCAGCGACCAACTGTCCGCTCGTTTGATAGTAACGCTAGTGATATATGTGCAATGTAAATAATATTTTTCACATTAAACAGGGAAACCCCGGCGTCCTAATCACGGCGCACGGACCGCGTCTAAAATGTTTATAGTCCTGAATATAATCTTGTAATCTTTCTGTAATAAATATCGTTCCGATTGTATTCACTTCTCTCTCTCTCTCTCTCTCTCTCTCTCTCTCTCTCTCTCTCTCTCTCTCTCATATTATAAACAGTATAAATTATATTATAATTATAAACTTACTATAGTTATGAGAAAAACAAAAATTAATTCCTCTTTATAATTATTTTTATTTTCATCAATTTCCACATAAAACGAACGTTTCGGGTCAAGTTCGGGTCATTCTCACCGTAACAACCAAACAGAAACAAAAAAAATGTTAACAAAAACCGGTAACGAAAAAATGGAATAATCGCACATCTAACAAGTTATATTGAATTATATCATCACCATCTAGTATTGTCGTTTGTTAGTCATGGCTGTATTTTGGTCAGGATTGGGAAGTACTAGTTACTTGTAAAGTTACAGTTACAATTACCTTTTTTCAGTAACTGTAACTTAACTTAGTTCCTTTTTTTCATCTGTAACTTAACTTATCGTTAGTTACATTTCTTCCAGTAATTATAAGTAACTAATTTAACAGTTACTTTTACTGTTACTTTACATTTTAAACTTATTTGTCAATTTAATGTGATTGGTTAAAACCTGAATACTAGTTAAGGATACGGTCCACTACAAATGTTTTAAAGTATTTTTTTATTCGTCAGTAAATTGTACACGTAATTTTTTTTCTTTAATGGCCCTAATGATATCAATGTCACTCATATTTTTCTGTCATGATAACAAAAAAGGAACTGAAAAATTATTTTTAAAAGATACTTTTTAGTAACCGTAATTGTAACTTTAATTTTTGGTCTCGGGAACTTGGAACTGTAACTAGTTACTTTTGAAGGAAAAAACCAACTGTAACTATAAATTACTTTTGCAAAGGAACTTTCTCAATTCTGATTTTGGTTACGTTGTTTTTTTTTTTTAGTTAAACGTACCAAAAAGATGTGAAGGTCACCTTCAGTCTTTTAAACAGGATTATATAGATAATTTTTCTTCACGTGTGATATAATCCCTCTAAATATTCTGCACACATATAAAAATATATATACCAAAGTAGAGATATTGAAAAATTAAATAGTTTTCGGAATATTTTATACTTTATTCTGGTAAATTCGTATAACAAATCTAACTAAACTAACCAAGACTCCTTATAAATCAAAGAATTGGAAAGAATACGGGCTTTAGGAGTGAGGCGCAGAAGACGTCGCGCAAATAATACGCTTATGAAGCTTGAAACTTCTTTATTTAAACAATATCTTTATTTTAGACCATATTTTTGAGAAACACAATCAATACTAGAAATTTAAAATGCCTATTACGGTCGAAGCTGGATCTTCGTTACTGAAATAATTAAACCTTGAATTACTAATATATGTATACATATATTATATGTATACATATATAGTATATATTAGTAATTCAAGGTTTAATTATTTCAGCAACGAAGATCCAGCTTCGACCGTAATAGGCATTTTAAATTTCTAGTATTGATTGTGTTTCTTTATTTAACAAACGCGCTTACATATTTCGGCTTTTTAGTTATTAGCTGGTATACTATACTAGTATACGAAACATGTAAGCGCGTTTGTTAAATAAAGAAGTTTCAAGCTTCATAAGTGTATTATTTGCGCGACGTCTTCTGCACCTGACTCCTAAAGCCCTATTCTTTCTAATTCTTTGAATTATTCTGGTAAATTGTGATATGGAATATAAAATGTATCAAATCTAAAAAAGAATCTAAAAAAAATATCTGAACTATCAATTATCTAAATTATTGATTCATTGATGTTTCTTTTATGCGCAGAATAATTAGGAGAACGTATTATGTGAAAAAATTATATAATTCAATTTTAAAAAACGAATGCGTATTTTTTGGCTCCTCAACATAGTAAAAAAGACACCATGTATAACACTTAATGGAAGATGCTACATGGTTTATTTTAATTTTTGTTTAGCCCTTCTATTATCACTGTAAGATTTGTTTTCTTTCTTTTTTCTTGTGTATACAAAACGTTTCGAAATTATAGGTAAAAATGAAACTGGCTAATAGAATCCACAAACACGTAACAAAACTTGAATATAAGTTTGTAAAGTAAAATCCTTTTCGTGATATTCTGCACTTTTTATATTCTGTGAATTTTTAAATTTAAAAAATATCGATACTTTAAACACTTTAAAATATTTATTCCATACACACACACAGTATATGTAATCGCACAAAGAAATTGGCTTATAAAATAAAAAATCTCGTATGTATGGTCTAAAATAAGATTCTTATTGTTTAAGAATATTTAATTTACGTTTTTATATATATATATATATATATATATATGTACGATTATTAAGACTTTTTTGTATTTGTAAATTTTATGAAACAACTCAGTCGTTTTTTTAATGTAAGAATACCTACAAATCGTGCAATTATTTTTTAAATAAAATAAATTTTTGCATTCGAAAATCGAAAAAAGTATTTAGATGAAATAGTTCTTGAAATGTTGCACTCACATCTACTTTCTTTTTCTTGTAAATTAGTTTCGAAAACTCAGAATTCGACACTTTTTATTTCGTTTAAATTCCTCTTCTCCAAATATTATGATATCTCAGTTGTCGAGGCAACGAAAACACATCATGCTACGTTCGCTGAAAACAAGGTTCGGTTCCGTAGTAAGTGTAATACGCAGGCTTTTTTTTACCAGTTGTTTAATATAATAAATAAATTATATAGTTTAAATAACATAAATTATTTAGTAATTCATTAATGATATAGCGAGTGTATTTATCAATTTTTTTTATGCGTGGAAAGAACGGTTTTACTGAATTGTCTAAAAATGTATCTAGATGCAAATTTAAAAACAATTTTGTTGGACCATCAAAATAATTATCTAGAACGTCCAAATTGGTTGCTATAATTTCTTTCTGTTGCTAAATCTTTTTGCAGCGTTGCTCATCATGTTTGAGACTCAATTCTACATAATTACTTTGATGATCTAATAAAATTATTTTAGATGCGCGTGTCTATCTAAATTAATTCAACAGAATTGTTTGTTTTTTGTAGATCTTGACATTTCGAATTATTAGATGACTCGATCGAGTCTCAGCACTAAGGGATATATATATATATATATATTAATATAGCGTGAAATTAATCCATGTATGATTTATTTACCTCGAAAAAAAACTATGACGTACATGATGGAATATATGAGACAAAAAGTCAGATAGTGTGAATAGACCACAAAAACTTGACGTAGAATAAAAAATCATAATAAATGTAGAATTTAAATATTATATAATAGTATAATATATGCGTTCTGGAAAATGACAAAAAAGCAAGGTAGAATGTATACTCCACACTTTACTCGCCCCACTTGTCGCTTCTTCAAACTCGTTTGCCGGCTGTCACTTTTCGTGCGTATCCGTGCAAAATAAGAATCAGTTATGTACGAATAATGGTCTATGACGCATGTATCTGAATATTACTCGCTTAGTTTGGAAGCTGTGAATCTGATCAAGATCATCTCGACAAGATTCTTCAACGCGTAACGTTCCAGTGTACTTCCCTAAAAATATGTACAAACCAGGTAAGATAATTAAATTAAACTTTCTCAATTTTTTTATTTATATTCATTAATACAATAAAATAATGCTGATTATTATATGAGCCAACACAGAATAATCACAATCGCAAAAGTTATGACGTAGATGTTCGAATATATGAGACAAAGAGTTACATAAGTGCAAGTATGAAAATATGACTGAAAATAAAAAATCATAACAAATGTCTGTAGAATTTAAATCAGTAGAAAATATACGTTTTGCAGAATGATAAAAAAACAATATAGAACACATACTTCACACTTTGTTCGTCCCACAATTGTCACTTCTTTACGATTGCGATTATTTTAAATAAATTAAATTTCACACCAACATCCTGGGCTGCGTTCGGATTCCCACCTGGGTGCTTCCTGGATGTCATATCATCTTTGTAATTTACCGAAAATTAAACAAGGAAGACATGACACCCGAGAAGCACCCGGGTGGGAATCCGAACGCACATGCGTTGGCTCTAATCGGCATTATTTTATTGTAAATACAGAAGTGTTCTATATTATATATTATTGTTGCATATAAAATTGTGGTACTTCAATTTTGTTTCAAATTTAAATTCTTTCTGAAATTCTTAAATAAAAAGATAGACTATACATATTGTGGCATAAAATCCTTTAATTACAACAAATAGATTAACAATGTGCTTCCTTTTCTAGATTATAATTTTAAGATGCACAATGATTTATTGTTGTTATATAATTATATAATATGCATTTATAAAAAAAAAATATAATAATTTATTATTAATATGAAGGTAATCAAGATTAATCGTAATGTTTTGACGTATTCAAATAAAACATAGAAGTCATAATAATGTCATAAGAACACCATCATGTATTTGTTTATTCTTTAATAAATATTTTATTTGTTTTATAGTATGTTTAAACAATAATTGGCATCGTTAATAACATCCTATGATCATTATAATAATGACTTAATTATAATTCTGTGTTATACCTAGGTTATTTATATTCAAATAACATTGTTGCGCACATACATTTGAATTCTGACTGATTTCTTTTATAATGGACTTAATCACAGGATCAAATTTTCTAGTTATAATTAAAATTTTTTGTAATACTTGTTAAATATAAGTGCGATATGATAATACACACACACACACACACACACACACATGTGTGTATAATTGTTGTGCATTTTAATGAATTTCTTTATGACACACATACACATGCGTGTTTCCGCGTGGATTCAAATAACATTGTTGCGCATATACATTTGCATTCTGATTGATTTCTTTTTTAATAGATTTGATCATAGGACAAACTTATGTTATAATTTAAACTTCTTTTGATACTTATTATAAACATATATGGTAAAAACGATACGATAATATAACATACGTATATATGAGCCCCTTAATTGACAAGTGGCATAAGTTTCTAAAATTAGAAAAATGCGTTTGTTATAGAAGTAAAAAGTATTAAGAATGTTTGTTTTATCTATTAATTTAATTTACTTTTATTTTGTTTTTACGTTCTTAAAAAATAAAAATCAGTTTTACATCATAAATAGAGTAACCGTAAAAAAAGCTAGAATAGTGACTTAAGTCCAGCTTTTTTACGATCATTTTATTTATGACGTAAAATTGATTTTTATTTTTTATGAATATATAAACAAAATAAAAGTAAATTAAATTAAAAGATAAAATAAACATTCTTAAATATACTTTCTACTTTTACATTACTACTTTTAATATACTTTCTACAACAAACGCATTTTTTCTAATTTTGGACTTATGCCATTTGTTAACTAAGGAACTCATATGTATATATTGTTGTGCATTTTGATTCACTTCTTTATAACACACACACGCGTGCACGCATGTGTTATATTATCGCATTGCGCTCATCATGTTTATAAAATATCAAAAAGTTTTAAATTACAAAATATTGGAGTAGAATAAAAGTTTACTATTCAATCCATTTATGTAAGATGTCTACATGTTTCTTAAAAAAAATTAGCAATCATACTGTTCGATAGAGCAAAGTATCACCTTTAAAAATCTGTTTTCTTTTAATTGCGGTACAGTCATTTTTAACTGAATAACAAAAAATCTTAGAAATATTTTTAAAAAACGATTTTGTAAAGAAATCTTTCACGTAAAAAAGTTTTGTATTTTAATTTATTTGAAAAAACCTTATAAAATTTTAATCATTATTATCGGTCGATATATCGGCCGATAATGATTAAAATCTTTTATCAAGTTTTTTTTTATAAATTAAAATACCAAATGTCACTGGCCGGAAACTTTTGTACGCCATTTGTACATACAGTTTAAGATATAATCATTTCAACGCGCGGTACGTCGAAAAGGGATCGAAATTTTTAACTCCATCGATGTTTCAATGAAATGCGCCATATGCATGCACTGCGTCAATGTGTTTTGATAGTATCGATATCGATTTGATATCGATTTGATATTAGCTTTCTCACTGGGTATGACTTGTTTTAAACATTTTGTAAATCTTTTTGTCGTCTTAGATTGCACAGATTACACAGGCCTGCATGGTTTTGTTGATTGGGATTTAACTATGTTTTCTTACGTAATTTTTCGCGCTGAATCCTGAATCCGAATCCGGCTGCAGAATTGCTCTATCAAAATAAAAATACTCACGAACTACGCTTCGTTGCCTTTTTAACGGTGAATCATGCGGGATGCGACCTAGAACCTCGAGGAAGAGTCCACAAAGTATTGCGTTAGGCATCCATGCATGGAATTAACATAAGTGATTGCATCTTTCATAAAACTAAAATCGGCTCTGCGTAATAAATAGTTTCTCTTAGTGATAATACTTCGCGATATTTAGCGTCATTGTTAAATTAAGCAATATATTTCACATGTCCATTTTCATTGCCTTTTAGAAAATTTTTGTGAACAAATGACGAAACATTGTATTAGCGACGATCTTGTAATCGAATAATTGATTTAGAAATATTTATCTTTTATATCAAAACCACGTCAATGGTAATTATATTGTACTCCTCAAAATATTAAATATTAACAATATTTCGAATATCCTTATTTTACTTTCTTTTTTGCTTGATTATTGGAAAAGTTTGAAAGAATTTCTCACTAAATTAAATAATTAATATCGAAGTTATACTTTAATATATCGAGGCAACTATCGATATTCCCTTTTTTATTGTTGGAACATCTTAAAGATATTTCTTCTGTTGATGATTCGATGACTTTAAGTAGTGTTAAATTTTAATTGTATAAATTAAAAATTTTGTAATTCCAGTCACATGTTTCCTGAAATTAAAACAAGCGTGTTTTGGCAGTCAGTAAGACTTATGATAACATCGATGAATTAAGTTACAAACAATCAAGTGGATAACATCGATGGATTAAGTTAGAAACAATCAAGTGGATAAATTGCAATAACGTGATAGAATGCGTTATGGAGTTTCCATTTATTATTAAACATTCTCTGCAGTGATCTCTGCTTTGTTCATTCAGTGAGTTTAAGTTAATAATATAAAATGCATGTGGTAATATTTCGTGACCTAAAAATAAAACTTTTCTCCTTATTTAGGACATTCGAAATCTTTAACCTGCTTGGATCGCATACCAACGTGATATATAAATCTCAAAACTGCGAAGTTGAAAAATTTGAAATCTTTAAAGAGAAATACGTAATAAAGATTTTTTTTAAGCGATAAGAATAATTGATATTATGGAAAGATTATAAATTCACTTCAGATTTTATGTCTTAACGATTTGTGTCTTAACGATATAAAAAAAAATTGTCAGAACAGTTATATCGTTCTATACAGAAGATTTAAGCGATGAGAATAATAAAGTACTTCTTTTTTTTTCTACGTTGTTTGCTCGGGCCTTTCTTCAAATTGCAAGGTTTGAAGAAAAGACTGCGATGTCCACCGATCGAAGATCAAATTTTGCTACTATCGGCGACAGAAATTGCCCAGAAAATCCGTAAAAGAGAAGTAAGTTTACTGTCACTCTGTTGATTAGACTCGAAAGATTTTACTCATCTTAGAAGGCAATATATTATTGCCAAATTGATGCATGCACTGAAAAAAATTACTTGAATATAATTGATTCAAAATTATTCCAAATTAATAACTTAATTTTTGGCAGATCAGCTCCGAGGAAGTGATCGTCACGTATGTGAAGCGATGCAAGATAGTGAATCCGTTGATCAATGCTATCGTAGAAGATCGTTTCGATGCGGCAATTCAAGAAGCACGTGAAATCGATAATTTCCTACAATCAACAATAATAGACGAGGCGAAAATTGCGAACGAGAAACCGTTACTCGGGCTACCTATCACAATTAAAGAAAGTATTGCTGTTCAAGGTGAGTTACGTACTTTCATTTTTCCACGATTTGAATACATACAGGCATGCACATACTTTGCATTAAGAATTCATTTTTTTACGTAAAAATAAAAATAAGAAATACAACCTCTAATGGCTTTGATCTTGACAAACGTTATCCAAGACATTATCCTAAACAACATTCAAGAGGTTTTAGTCGTCGATCGGATACCTTGCGTAATGCTAATCGGCGGTACTGTAACCTTCGAACCTTATAACTAGAAAAATACTTAATAAAAAATAACTTTATTACAGTGTTATGAAAGCTCTTGACACCAGCTATTAAATTCTGGCATCAAAAATAGGGTGTTCTATTTGAAAAAATTAGTTTGACCTTGATCTGATCTTGGCGACTTTACTCAAGGTCAAGCGGATGTAATCAGTGAATAGATCTTTTTAAATCCTACAACTTTTATCTAAAACATTTTTCTCAAAAATGCTTTGCCTTCGAGATATTCGGTCGTTTCTAAACTTTTGACATACCCTGTATATATAAACTTTACATTAAATCGATATATACGTATTTGCTTATTTTTACTTGTGAAATTAACTACAATGGAATTTTATGTAATAACATGAAATTGTGCTAAATTTCATATTTGATCGATGTTTGTCAAAACTATTAAACTCAGGTTCACATTTGTTGTCCGTGCAAATTTCAAAGTATACACAACGCTCAATAATCCCAGCACGTTTTACATTTTTGCATTTCACGCACGAACGCACGCACGCACAAAACTAATTATAAGGAAATGGAAACAATAATTAATAGTTCTATAGAATTATATCAAGCGCGAAATATTAAGATCGCTAACTTTTCTTATGTCTTTCTCCTTTTTTTTCTATTTGAATTACTTGGAATTCGTTGTTAGCACATATGACTACGATCTGGTAATTCGCATGGTTTAATGAAATGTTTTCCAGTTAACTCATCCTGATATAGATAAGCTTTTCTTAGAATTTTCTAAAAATTTTTCTTTGACGTAATATATGTTATTGCGTTAGACATCATTTTACCATTCCATATACTGATTACTATGCATGTCCGACGTGGCGTATTGACGTATTTAAATTTTAAATAAATTAAACATTAATTCCACAGAGATCTCTAGACTTTCAGAAAGATACTCAGGTACTTTGCATATATTATTTTAAGTATATAGCAAATAATAAATTAATTTTAATTCTCCTACTCAGTGCCAGGAACTTGTGTACCAAAAATTAATGTAAAAATTTTTTAATTTCCGAGTTCTTTGAGATGAAAATTCATCATACCTTTACATAATTTTTACAAATACATAATATGAAAAAGGGAAGTTGAAATCTATAATAAAAACGCTATTGACCTCTTTTTAACATCCTCATTTATACTAGCACGTAATATGTATATATATTCAAAATATAAAACTTGTTTAGGAATGAGTTATTCTGTGGGAATGAAAGATGTTTCCTTGAAAGCGACAGAAGACGCCGACGTTGTGGCGAGGATTCGCAAGGCCGGTGGAATTCCTCTTCTTGTCAGTAACACTCCAGAATTGTGTATGTGGTGGCATACATTTAACAAAATAACTGGTATCACCAGAAATCCCTATGATACACGGAGGACCGCTGGTGGCTCTTCCGGTGGCGAGGTATATTTCTCTTATACAAATGACGCGAAGGTTCTTTCATAATTGAAAATTCTTATTACAAAAATTTGTAAAAGTTAAAAATTCTTATATAAATAATATATATATAAACTTTTATATAAATAATGGAATTTTGTAATAGTTAAACATTGTATTTAATTAGGCTGCTCTTCTTGGCTCTGGCGCTTCGATTCTAGGTTTAGCTTCAGACATCTGTGGATCCGTTAGGCTCCCGGCAATGTTTTGCGGTATTTTTGGCCATAAACCCACACCAAGTAAGTTTTCATCGAACAATCAATAATGGAAAAAAAGAACGATCAATTAATAAAAAATTTTAATCTTGTTTACTTATTTATAAAACAACATAAACCGACATACAATAGATAAAATAATTTTATATTTTAGACTGGATATCAATAGAAGGTCATAAACCTAGTTCAAATGATAAAAATTGGTCTACATTTTTCTCAATTGGTTCAATGGTCAGATACGCTACAGATCTGCCTCTGTTATTAACAGTGATGTCACAATCAGATGAAGCCAGGATTACCTTTAATAAAAAGGTCAGAATTTTTTTAATCTTATAAACTACCGCTTCTATATATGTATATATATATATATAAGATATAAATGATGAATAAAGTTGATATAAATGGACATTATTTTATAATACTTATTTATGCAAGATTTGCATATTCGTACAGGTGCATCTGAGCGACATAAAGTATTTTTATATCGATAATTACGGCCCGCTTCCAGATTTAATAACAACTGATATAAAAGAAGCAATTTACAAATTAATGAGACATCTAGAAGCAATAAGCGGTGTTAAAGTGGAAAAAGTATGTCAGAATTTTGTTTACATTATAAATTACTCTTAATTTACTATCAAGACAAATTAAATTATTAGACAAAATAGACACTATTTCTTTATATGTTTAGTATAACACAGTAATAATTTAACTTTTTTTCGGTAATTAATTAAAAATAATATATACAATAAAATGTATTTACATATAATAACAAAAATTATGCAATATGACACAATATTTATATGTAGCACAACAATTATAACATTTTATTTATATGTAATAACATAATTGTTAAAAATTATGTAACGTTTAAATTATGTAATATTGAGGAATTTAATGTTGTATATAGATTTCATCCTATTCAAAAGATTAAAATTTTAATTTAAAAAATAATAGTGTTTATATAGATAAATAATGCTAAGATTTTAGAAACAAGATTATTTATATGAATAAATCAAATTATAATATGAAACAGTCAATTATAATCAAAGTGGGACGTTTCAAATATTACATTATTATTATTTATTAAAAAAATTTATATAATTTTCAGACACACACATGACTGCACGCCAGTAACTTTCGGACTTTCAATACAATCAATCTGAAACACTAATAATCCCTCCTAAATTAAATTAAATTAGAAAAATTTGTAAAGAAGTTATTGCAAGCATACCTTAGGAGGCAAATATAGATAAATATCATATTTATTTCTTTTATCATTTGCAGGCAAATTTTGAAGATATAAAACGATCTTTTGAATTAAGCGCGATTATTCTTCTCAGTATCAAAGACATATATTCAATATTTAATCGTTGGGATAATCCTAAGGTATAGTTAAATAACGAGATTCATTATTAAGATATATGTCACAAATGCATATTTCATAATTTTTCAGAAATCGAAGAGCGTGTCCATGGAAATACTAAGATATATTTCCTTCATGTCGCCGCATACTTTTCCTGCTATTTTTTTCGGACTAATCAAGAATATTGTCGAAAGTTTCCCAGTCAGCATTTATAACGAAATGATGGAACTAAGGACGCGATTGAGAAAGCAATTTGAGGTAGAGTGTCTACAATGGATAATCAAATTATTAGAACCACTTGCATAAATTAATGATTTTATGTTAAAGCTGCAATTAATTTTTAAGTTTGTAAATGTACATATAACGACACTATGTTGTTATTATTTTTTTGATGAAATATTGATGTTTACAAATTTTAAATATTTCCTTGGCACTATAAATAGCACTTTCTCTCATATATATGTCATTTAGTCAATCTTATCGAGAATTTTTGAGAATTTATGAAAAGAGAAATTTCCAAACAATGTTTCACCAACAAACGTCTATTAATTGTGCATTTGATTAATGTGCGTTGTAGGAGTGAAGCATTTAAATCTGAAACAAGCCACGATATTATTCAATTTAAAATAAATGATTTTTGTCTCTTGTTGTTTTTGCGTAAAATTGAGAAAATTTGAGTAAAAAATTATTAAAATCCAATATTCAGCGATTTTTAGTAATTAATATCTTGTTAATTAATACGAAAATTGCAAAATGGTAGAAGACTGTTCGACTCAGTTTAATCCATTCTATCTACATACAAGCGTTTTGTCAAAACTTACCAGACACCTCCCTCTCTGTATATATTACATTTTTTTAACTTTTGTCTGTTTAACATATTAATGTCTTATATTCGATTATGTTAATATTATAATAACGTTTGCTAGGAGCTGCTGGGTAATGATGGCGTATTAATTTGTCCATGCTTTACTTCGTCGGCGCATTATCCTCACGAATGTTTATACAACATATCTAATAACACATTCATGATGATTTTCAACGTGCTGGGATTTCCGGTCACGCAGTGTCCACTTGGTTTCGATAAAAATCAACTGCCGATTGGACTTCAAGTAAAAAAATAAAGCCATCAGTGTTTAATTATTCATAAGTAAAAAATTGAATAACTTATTTATTTAAGAGCCAAGAAACAGGCTCAGTAGTGATTACATAATCGATCGAAACTACGGAAACGATATAAATCGATATTCATAATTGATTCTTATATTTAAGACCTTAAGTATAATCCTAAAACAATTACATAGAGCTGTATTAGCATCTCAAGATCATTTACATAAGATCTTGGAAAAGAAAGGACTGTTAATACCGACCGAAAGATGCAAAATATATAGATAGAATTTTGTTTTCTTGTCTCTATTACTATATGACTAAAGTACTTAAATATTGCTATACTGTGTCCAGATTGTATTGGTTTTTAATTTATTTATAATTTTGAATTTGTAATTGATAAATTCAGAGAGCTTCTGTAAGGATTGATGAATCATTTACATTTAATTAGTTTTAACTTAATTTTTGTAGATCGTCGCGAATCCGGGCTGTGACCATTTGACGATTGCTGTGGCGCAAGAAATCGAAAGAAAATTTGGCGGTTGGCAAGAACCACAGGATAGAGAAGTCGTCTGAGAAGCATAGTATAATTTATATGGCAGCGACAATTCATTTATAATTGAAAATGTATTATAATTTTTAAAATATAAAAAATAATTAAATTTAATTTGATACTGAAATTTCCAAGAAATACAATTAAGTTCGATAATGTTTATATAATGAAAAACGTTATTGAATATATATTTTGTATAGATGGAAATAAGGCCCCGAAAGATTAAATTAAAAAACATCTTCCCTCATCCTCTCGGTATTAATTTCATAGACAGTACAGTATATAGGATCCTAAAGCAAAGCTTTATTACGATAAAACTTTTGTTTTTTTTTTTAATTACTGAACAGGTTTCTGATGACGCTCGAGATGAAGCGGAAGGCTCCTTTAACATATTCCTTTTCCCCGAGAATATCCTCCTCCTTTTTGTCGAGGATGTCTGCCATCGTAAGTACTAGGAAGTGGAATTCTTCATCGATAGTCTGGTATAACAGAAGATCGTCTTCTCCCAGTTTGTTATTCATGTCAGAACTTTTATGGTGCAAAAAAAATTAAAAGGATTACTTTTCTGTGTAATGAATAATAGTAATGTGAAAACAAAAAATAATGAAAGGAATAATTTTCGTTTCAGAAAATAACAAAAAAATTTAAAAAATTTGTTTTGGAAAAATATATAAATACTTCTCCTCCTTCTTTTCTTCTCCTCCTTCTCCTCCTTCTTCTCCACCTCCTTCTTCTTCTCCTCTTTCTCCTCTTTCTCCTTCTCCTCCTTTTTCTCCTCCTTCTCCTTCTTCTCCTCCTTCTTCTCCTCCTTCTCCTCCATGCGGAGAATTTTATCGAAGGAGTTACAAATATAGTCTATGGTCTCTTTGAACTCGTCCATGTGACTTACAATGCCTAAAAAAAATGTTTTAAATTACTTTTCTGCGTAATGGAATTAATAATAGTAATATTAAAACAATTAAAAATAATATAAAAAATAAAAATAATTAAAGGAATAATTTTTTCATTGTTCGTTTAAAAAAAAACGAGTTTAGAAAAATGTAAAAAAAATTGCTCACACACAATTTTATGCACAATTTTACATATAATTATACATAAGTAATTTTTTTTACAAATGTGAACCCGGGCTTTGTTAATTCGTTTTCGTAATGTGTAAATCTATTGAATTACTAAATAGTGACTTTTCCCAAATGAAAATAATAATGAAGATGGCTTCCCGAAACGATTTCTAATCGATTCCATTCATAAAATATATTAAATAAAATCGCTGTCTGCTAACTTGACGCATGACAAAATTTGTTAACAACAAGAAAAATAGCTATTATCCAAGTGTTTAAATGCTTTCCCTAAATTTCCTCAAACAATTCCTAAATTATATAGATATAAATAAATCAGAAATATTCAGTTTGTCTGTTATCTTGTCACAGTGGTGGGATTTACCGATTCAAAACGCTCATTAAAAAACATAGAACTTTTTTCTATACTTCTCTATAGTACATTTTAAACAGAGCTATCGACTGTGGAACACCCCAGGGCCGCGGTCCGATTCACTTTCACAACGCTTAAAAATCATTTCATCCTTATTGTTTGTCAAATGTTAAACGAAGACAAACGATGTTCATGAGCGTTGTCAGTATGAATTGGACCACGGCCCAAGTAGCAAGCTACGTCATTTTGACGTCAGCTTGCTACCAGGGACGTGACACGGGGCGGTATTCATATAGCCCAGGGCTCGGCACGAAATGCACATTTCGGCCTATTTTCGAGTCCACTCCGCCTCCAGCTATCCCCCTCACCGTACCGCCCCACGCGCAATCCAAATGCCGCTCGACGCTTAGGAATGTACTAAGGCGCTCGTAGACGTAAGGGGCATTCGTTCGGGGCGCTCGACACGCTGT